TATACAACGAAAGGAGACTGCGACCACACAAAAGGCCACACCATCTTGGTCTTCATATCTTCGATCAACCGACTTATATTGAATAATTTGGTTACCGAAGAAGATTGTCTCGGTACCAATGAAAGCCAGAACGTTCTAATAAGGCTAAGTCTAGAAATTCTAAATCTTGATTTTATATTAACTTGATACTTGCAAGAAGTATTTTCAGCTATGACGTCCGTCATGTAGTGGAAGAAAGCTGAGCTCGATTTCATCTGAATTAAAAGATTAATTCTCATCAACTTGATTGTCTAGACGACTGCATAATAACAGGAATCGGCCTTCCTCTTTGGAGCAAATAAATATATTCCTTTGCATTCATTTTCATACGGCTTAAGTTCTTCACACCATTATAAATCTTTACCTTAGCTCGAATCTTGGCTTTATAATATAATTTCAAATAGAGGATTTTCTTTATTTTTAAAAAATTCGTTTCTCTTAGCCTCAATCTACCAACACATCAGAATTGCCTGGGCAAAGCAACCTTTCGTCTGACCAGATAAGTGCACCTGACATGTCATCTAACTCTATGGCTATTCCTGTGACGTCAAACATTAGTACAACAGAGGGAAATTTTTCGGTTGCGGCGTCTGCTGTTTCTTCTGGACAGACAGTTGGACTCTCAAATACTACCACTCCTGTATCCAATAGTGCGACGACGACGTTATCAATGGAAACTACGGGCAATGGTGTTGAACCGGAAATTGCACGTGTCATAATGCCTTTTATGGCATCAAGTGTTGAACAGCTCAGTCTTAAGGTGGGCCAGCTTGTTCAAATCAGAAAACGCTCGCCAAAGGGTTGGTGGGAGGGGGAATTACAAGTAAGGAACTTTTTTTTTCAGGAACTCTTGTCTATACTCTTAATTTTATTCACACTAACATGTACACTCCTCTTTTTGGTTTTTTTTTCAGACTTTTAAGCTAGTCTGACTCATTCATTTCTATTAAGGCTTTCTTAATTTTATTATATCTGTTCATTTACTTTAAACTTATTGATTACTAAGGCCAGATGTTTAAAAAATACACATGCTATATTTAATTTTTTTATTATTTTAGCTTTGCTAGGGGGACCTTCATTTCAAATGAAAGAACATGAAAAAGAGATTCGTTTGTCGATCTCACCAGATGAGGACGGATGAAAATCGTTGTACGGCAGCCGTTTAGCTTTTATATTATA